AGTATGTTTTATATTTTACTTTTGGGCAGTTAACGAAATGTTGCTTTCCCTTTTTCCATTATTATGCAGTTGGTTTTGCTTACTACGATGGGACGAATGATGATGATGGAACAACAACCTTTCAAATATCACCCACTGCACTACAGTTAAAGACAAAGGAGGGGAAAAAAACTGCTCCAAGCACTGTTTTAGAATTTTAAAGTAACTGCATTAGAAAATGACAGGCCATCTTTTTCCATAAAGATGATGTCTGCAATAAACTGTCAAACATTTATTTTATGTCTTTTTTATGAACTCTTTACACTTGTTTTGGTAAATGTGTTCTTTTTTTGTTTCATATTTTAAAAATACCAAATGCAGACATCTTTTACTTTTAATGGTTAATAAATACTGCTGAAATTAGACCAAATTACTTCTTTATCTTTCATATGTATTGGTTATAGCTGCTGCAATATTAAAATGTGCATATGTTTTACTATTGTATTTATTTAAAATTGTACCTCTTTAGTAATTGAAAACGAACTTGCTCTACTAGGCACAAATACACAATGCTCTTTATGTTTTTTTGTTTTGTTTTTTGTTAATAAAAGGAAATTGTGATTTTTTATTTCTTTGTATTTCATCGCCTCTAATAGATTTAAATACATTTTCTATGTATTTGTGATATATATTGAACATTTACAAATATATAATAAATGGAAGCTTTTTGGTGTGGATGAAAATAGTGGATAGTAAGCAAGATAAGGAGCATGCTGAGTATGTCCTGTAGAGGCGTCACGTGGTCACGTCCTCCTTCCTCCGCTTCTTCTCGACGTCAGGCTGACTTGAAGGCAACGTTATCTAAAAGGAGGATAAATAGAAGCGGGGAGTAGAAACAGCAACTACCCCATAAGCTGGTAAGAATCGAATATATAGTTTTTCTTTTTATAATCGGAGAGATTTACTAGTGTACGTCGAGGTTTCGTGTCTCGATAGTTTACAACATGCGAATGGGCGCCATGCTGTTTTCAAGGCCTGTGAAGCTGAATGCTAACGGTGTTAGCATCCGCGGCCTGTTAGCAGGCCGCGCGGGTTTTCGGTGCCGCGACGAACGAAGGCTGACAGTACGCTCTCTAAAATGGGGACGCGATGCTTTGCGTCAATGTAGCACAACCCTGCTAGACAGACCAATTTCCCCCACCTATAAGTGGTAGCTCCATACGTTACTGCAAATAAAACCATTCAGTCTATTGCTTGGAGTCAAATAGAGTTTCACTGCAAGGGTTTTATCTTTAATAGCGGGAAAGGAAGTCTGCAGCTTGCTATCATGCTATGCTATTAACTTATTGTAATGCTCCTCGGGCCGCTGCATTGTACACTATTTTTTTTAATTATAAAATGGTAAAATACAATTTTCATATATGAAAACAAAAAGCATGATACTATATTTTTCATCATTCAACTGAAGCCTTTAAGGAGCAAACAGCAGGAAAATGGATCGAGCAGACAACCAATCTTATAGGATGATGCGGTACACCATGGCAACGGCCTAGTTACTAAGACAACACATTCAGAAGTACAGCGTGAATTTGTTCTACAATAATATACTTTTGACATGTGCACAGTAATTATTGGTAAAGTTCGGCTCTCTTTTAAATCTGAGTTTTTGTTCTCCAATGTTTCTTTTTATTTTTCATCTTCGAGATTAAATACGAATACTAGTACATTTTGTTTATAAAAAAAAAAACTAATGTCAGTAACATGGGGTTTAAATTTTATTATTGTCATGGTAGTTGAGATGATTGTTAGTTTATTGTTTTATAATCAACTTACATTTAAAAAAGTGAGAAGCTGAGACAAAATCCCATTGGATTTTATTTTATTTTTAGATATTCCACTGTGCAAACTACATTTGGAAATTGAGAAAACTATTTTCAAGTTGAGATGTTTTCTGGAATATGTACTGCTTAATTAAATATGTGCTTATATACTGAAATATAGCTTTGTCAAAAGTCCCAATAATAAGCAGTCTCTGAACAGAACTAATGGAAAGAGAAAGTAAATGAAAGTTTTTGGTGTATTTACAATGTCAGCCTATATTCTTAATACTCTATATGTACAGTATTATATGATCTAAAGAAATAGCTGATACTGAGGGATGACACAAGTGACTTGTGCACAAATAGCAGATGCAGAATGATGCGACAGTAGCACATGTACCTTATAAATGTCTCTTCAATTGTGTTTTAAAATTTCTTGCATGTTATAGAGACATTAAACCGCACTCTAACACTCATTAATTAACCTTACTATTCCATTATGTTGTAAAATACCTGCCAGTAATAAAGAGGCCCTAATCATTCTGTGTGGGGCGGAACAATGCAGTTTTTCTTTGAGTCTATACTAGTTTTTCCTTTCCCATTTATATGATTAAAAGAAAAGACACAATGATAACAAATGTTACTTGAGTAAAAATATATAAAAAAAAAAAAAAACAAATGGAAGGAATGGCAATGCATGCATTTTACATGATCTCAAAACATAGCTGCTGAATTCACTAATGCACTGGAAAATGCATGCATTGGCTGATTTAAAAAAAAAAAAGAAAAATGCATAATATATTGGTCTATTTCTACTGTTTGATGGCCGATCCCGGTGGTAGGTGATTGATAACCACACTTGCTTATGTCCAGCGCTTAACTCCTCTGTTTTCGGTCCATCCTATATGTGATCTTTTTCAGGAAATAATGAAAAGCTACCCTTTCTTGAGATGTCTGCATGGTTGGAACATCCTTTCACCTAACATTCTTTCATCTGCAAATTTTGTGGGGGAAAAATGTAAAATAAATACTTTATAGTTAAACTTCCTTAGCTGTTTCTGAAGTGATTCTGCCTACCAACGTGGAGGTTGGCGACAGAGTGAATTCGGATATGTGACATCACATGGGAACTACAGAATTCCTGCAACATGGAATTGATCTTGGTTCACTACCACAGCAAAATAAAAGCTGCCATATTTTCAGAATGAATAAAAAACTATTTAAAAGATGTAAATCATATGATATAGCAAGGTGCATCTTTGCACACCTACTTTACTAACAATAAGAGTTTATATTAATTTAAACATCATGAAATATGTTATTTAGAGAAAAAAAAACAACCTGCAGCTCTTGTCAGTCTTGCTGCAAAGGTGTCTAGCTTATGGAGCTTGCTGTGTGCTGCACCAATCTCTATATTGAAGAAAAACTAGTCAACAGCCCAGTGTTTCTAACTTTGTATATTTGGGGACATTTCTAGCTACATATTTCCCCTTTTAAAGGCAACTAGAGAAAAATCTTGTCACTTTTTCTCAGTGAGTTTAGCAGCCTTCATATGAAACCTTCCATTACTCTATGGTTACTCTGACAACAGAAAGCAGAGCTGTGGTGAGTCTCTCCCTGCTTCCCTGAGCACTGTCTCACAGGCAGCTGTCTCATCCTTAAATCCATAGTCGGAGCAAAAAGGAGACGTGCCATTTTCCCACAGCTAATGATGCTTTGGATTCTGCCAGGGTTTACCAAGTGGGATATAAATAAAATTATTATATTTCTTAATTTCCGTATTAAAGGTGCAGTAAGAGATCTTGGAAAAACGGTTCTAGCCAGCTATATTTTTGAACATACACAACCATGCCTCTCCCTTCAGACCACCCAATGAAACCAAGCCTTCAAAACACATGAACCTGCATGCTGTTTGCAGCGCGTCTAGAGCAGCGGGAACATTGTGTCTAAGCAGTGAAGATGCAGAGCGCTATGATCATTCCCCTGAAACAGTTTATTAACGCCTAAATTAAAATGCCTAAATCTGCCGGAAAAACATGTTCACTTTTATTATCACAGAGTCTGCAGTTTGGATTACATACATGAAAAAGACCTTTCAGCTGCAGCAGCAAACTGTGAGGAGGCGACTGGCCCAGAGGCTGCTGTTGAATGGGATTCCTAGTGACAGTGCACCGTCGGTGTACGGGGGTTCTGAGCGGTTCCGACGGAAATTATATTTGAAGTCAGGATGATAATCTGGATGATCTGAGAGCACTGAAGATGGTTTCAGGTGGACTTTCTCACTTTAAAATAGATTCAAACTACTTTTTACCCACTGATTACAGCATATATAGCTGCCATTGTTACAGGCAAAGAAAGGATAGGGTAGCTTCTCCCAACTTGCATCAGACCCACTTTTTCCACTGCACAGCCAGAGCAGCAAAGAAGCTTCAGCTGTGCATCAGAGCTAAACTTCAAGTATAAACAATCAAACAGCACAGGCGTTTTTGCTTCTCTTGCTGCTTTAGGTGTGAATAGGTTGACCAGAAGTCCTCTTTTTTTTCCCCCAAACATGTCCTACTTTTCAGACCTAAAAATTCTAGGGGTAATTTCAAAATTGTCTGGGATTTTGGTAGACTTCAGTGCAGCACATAGTCAAAACAGGGAGCCAGCGGGGGACTGAGTGAACGAACCTGACCTGGTAACGGCAGCCTCGAAACACACGTCCCCGTGCTTCCCCCTGCCTACCTTACTGGTCCCCAGCCCCCCTCCTCAGGTCCAGTCAGCGGCTCAGCAGTCGAACCGAACCCCCTGCTTTATTTGTGAACGTAGCATAACAGTGGCTAGCTTCCAGCCATGGCGTCCTGCATGCTTTCATGTGTCAGGGTACGCGCACAGGAGCAGATGACCCTGATTGACGTGTCAGGAACCAATCGTGCACAACGGGCCGTTTTTTTGTGATTGGTTGGGGTTATTCATGGATTTCTCGCTGTAGTGGGGACCATTTATTTTAGTTTCATTTCCTGACCTTCTATTTCACTGCTTGCTAAGCAGCTGATCTTTAAGCCACATGGTAAAAAAAATGCGTAAGAAAAAATCTTCTACTGCTCCTTAAGGCGAGGTATGAATGCCAAATCCCAATATGGAGAAAAAACACAAAGACACAATCAGCAAGCAGGCAAAAAAGTTTATTGAATTCAGCAGAGAAGATAAAAAAAAAGAAAATAAATAGGCTCAAAAAAGACATTAGTAAGAAACCCTGGTTCAGAGTAGCTCTAGAAGAGAGTCTAGGTTGTACCTTTGGTTTAGTTGGACGCCCTTTAAGGCCCAGCATGAAAGGGTTGTGTTAAAAGGATTATTTCCCTTCTGCAGTCATTGTGTCATCTAACGGTGAAGTGTGGATTATTTCCCTTCTGGTTTCAGACTGTTGTTTAGTTGTTTTTTTTTTTTGTTTTGTTTCCATTTCTCATCCCCCTTGTTGCCATCATTTTGCCAAACAAGTTGCATTTCCAGGCTCCATAGCATCCCCATATACCATGATGGTAGTCACTCCAAACCCAGTGAAGTTCTGTCATTTCCAGTTTAAGTTGATTTTTTAACAAACATTACATTTTCTATACTTGAACTCCCCTAAATATTAATCAGGCCAAATTAATTCAAACAGACTTTTATTCAGCATCATAGTTATTTCCCCGGTTGTGTGTCCTTTGTAGTGTAGCGCATGTTTCGTGGCAGTCATGCTGTCTGCTTTTTGTCTCATTTTCGCTCAGCCTCAGGAGCAGTGAAGTGTCTTCATGGCAGTTCGTCGAGGACACAATAAGTACTTTAAAGTGAGTATTAATAAATCCCTGCTCCCAATGCAAGCAGTGTAGTAGTGTGTCACCTGTTTGCAGGAAAACAAAGTGCAGGCTTTGTTATTCACCAGAGATTAGATAGCGTAACTGGCAGATATTTTTTGCGGTTTGCTGGATAAAAGTAATGATAAATGTCCAACACACAGCTGCTCTTTGCCCCCACCAAGCTGACTGGTGTAATAACAGGGCTCTCTTTCATCCTGATGGACAGTGTTTCCCACTCAAAGGACTGCATAATCAGAGTCCCTCGCTGATCTGAATGCTCCTCATTTAGGTTGATTTAATGGTTAGTTTTACCTTTAAGTCATGCTGCGGGAACTTAACAGATGGAGAGACAGACTCCAGAGATCTTTACACACTAGATTTGACCCATCTAGCCAAAGAAAATAACTGAAAATGGAGATTAGCTGTGTGCTGGTTATGGTGATGGAGCTTTTTAATCTTAGAATGAATACAATAATGCCACACAAGCTACTCAGCTACTTTTTTATATTCAAATGTTTGGCCTGTGACTACAAAAAAAGAAAAATGAAGATAAGGCTGAACTTTTTCCTCAGTCTTTAATAGCTGTTTTATCTTTCTTCTATAACTGTCTGTAGAAAAATGAACTTGGCGTAAGATTTAGTTACGTTTATGAGTAACATAACTAGGGCTGCAACTAACGATTATTTTAAAAATCGATGAATCGGACAATTATTTTTTCGATTAATCGAGGAATCGGACAAAAAATATTTTTTATATTAACCTCTTTATTCCAAAATAAACATTTTAGACAGAACAAACAAGCACACAAGTACAGGTTGCTCATTAACTGTACTGGTGCAATATGAAAAATAAATGTTTGTGTTAAAACTACGCAAACTTACATGAGAAATGTAGCTGTACATCCACAAAATATAGGCTACTTTGTTTCATAAAGCGCAAAAAAAGACATTTTTGTTTTTAAAAGCCCCTAAGGGGTTCAAACAATAGGCCCCCCCATTTCAACAAATTCGTTTTTTTAGACTAGAAGAGTTCTGCCTTTTAAGACAGGAAAGTATAGCAGTTAAAGTTGCTACTTGAGAAAATACTGAACCATAGAGATAAAAATAGCCCTGTGATTCAAATTATAAATTGTATTTGGAATAAAAATGAGAGAACTAGGGGTGCAAAAAAACACATCCTCCAAAGACTCCAATTTACATGGGAATGTGGCATATAATTAATTGACATATTACTGATCTTGCTGGATTTTATTCTGCTTTACTTCCATAAATTGCAGGATCTTCTTTACTTTATCTTCGCCAGAAGATTTAAACTTTAAAAGCCTTGCCCTCATAATTTGCAAGTTAATTTATTTATAAAGTAAATATAAACGCTGCTTAAGCGAATTCAAATGAAATTAAAAGTAAAATAAGTAGCCAACCTTATCACTGTCTGTAACCTACTAACACGGTAAGGAAAGCATCAGATGAGCTACCTGAGAAACTAACGTAACGTTTCCCCACTTTAAAACCAAACAAACATGGTGGTTCCGTGCCATGTTAATTTCTTTTGAAAAAAGTTGCATGTTATCACTTTTTTCGCTTTACAAAGCGCAGGCTATTTTAATTATTGTGATCAATTTGCGCCGTCAATCCCGGTGCATGCGCGCTTCATTTGCAGTCTGGACGCTGAGGCTCTGACTGCAGCGCTGAGAGGGACTTCTGCGGGAAAACACGGTTGGGGTGGGGGAGGCGCCCCACGGCAGAGTAGGAACGATACATGCTTTCACGTAAGAGTCTCCAAAAGCCGCCAGTGACACCGAAAAAAGTCGCCAGATTTGTCGCTAGTCGCTTTTTGAAAAATAGTCGCTGGAGGGGTCTGAAAAGTCGCTGAGTTGGCAACACTGCACCTGCGGCGCTGACTCGCTCTGCCATATTTTTTTTTCTTCCCCCTTTAGTCAAGAGGCAGTGATGACGGCGCGGCGGATGACGCAATAATCGCGCGACACAACTAATCGATGATGAAATTCGTTGCCAACGCTTTTAAAAGTCGATTTTTATCGCTTTTATCGATTCGTTGTTGCAGCCCTAAACATAACCACTTTGCCATTGCAAAATGAGTCATAAAGTTGACAAAAAATTCCTCATCACCTTTTTTACTCTGTCATCTGTAATCTATTTGTTACATATTAAAGACTAGGCAAAAAATACACGAGAAGTCCTTTACTTAGTTTTTAATTTTTTGTTGAAATTGGATTGGTTAAAATAAAGTCCGGTGATCTTCTAGAGCCATTTATTTAGTTTGATGTAAACAGTAGCCTATCTGGCAATGCATGCAAGCAGTCCTTGTGATTCTTTCAAATTTTGGACACTATCTGGGTAGACAATTGCAATTTAACTATGAACTATGCTATTAACATGTCAAAAATGAAAATGGGGACTAACAGTCGGTTGAAAATTATTTGTTACATAAATCTATCTCTATGGAACATTTTAGAAGGAAAAAGGGATGGTTTTCCTGAAAGTTAGAGAGGCATACAATAATACAAGTGATGCTTCGATGACAAACTAATCCTCAACTCACATGAACTTGCCTGTTTCAGGCAAGATCAGAGTGAAGGAACCTTTTTGTTGTTGAGGAGAATGATCATAAAGATGTAGGACAAGCTGTGATTTCCCCAATTTCAGGTTCTTCTCCACCTCCTATATTAAACTTATTCCACTTGTCACATTGAAAATAAACCTGAATCACTCGTCATCTCTACAGAAATATAACTGATCCAAAGCGTCAGGATGTACTCTACCCCAGACCATGGACACCAATATAATTTGCTTTTAACATTAGATGCTATTTGTCTGTTTCACTTTTATTGTGTAATTTTCTTTATTCTTTTCTGGGAGGCAAACATTTCTAAGTTGGTAGAATAAAAACTGATTTCCTGGGTAAACTGTGGTGAAATCAATCTGCTCTTTTCCTATTCATTCTGCCTATTTGGCTTCATTTTAGTATCATTTTAACAATTGCAATTTGTCAGAAAAAAAAAAAAAAACTACAGAAAAATGTGTGTACTTTTATCTGTAGTTAGTTTACCAAGTCTCTTTTCTGTTTATTCAGTGTGCTTATTATGTTTTTTTTTTTCTTTACAACTGGCTGACTTGCAGGACGTGTATGAGATGTCTAACGGGTATGAAGACCACATGGGAGGGGATGAGGCGAAGGATGCAAAAACTAACCTGATAGTGAACTACCTGCCTCAGAGCATGACTCAAGACGAGCTGCGAAGCCTCTTCAACAGCATTGGAGAGGTGGAGTCCGCCAAGCTGGTGCGAGATAAAATGGCAGGTAAGCAAAACTGTGGAGAATAAAAACGTGTAAAAAAAAAAAAAAGTTAATAAATAAACCATAACATAAAAAACTCAAACAATTCAGCTGACAAGGGAAACAAATGAAAGACATCATGCGACTACCAAAGGCAGGGTGGCAAAGGTCTAATATAGCCTCCAACCATTGAGTTATGTTACATAGGCTATGTTCACTATTTTTGCACCACCAGTGACTTCAACACAAATGAAACCTAAAGCGCAACTTAAAATTTTTTTTTTAATAATACTTCATTTTTTTTTATTTTGGGTTTTAGAAATAGTTTAGCCTTTATTATGTATATATGCTTTAAGATGACCTTAACTTTGTGAGGTTGATAGATTATGGTCTCGTTTCTGGGTTCTGTTCTTTCCTATTCTGTTTTTTTTTTTTTTATTAACTGTTCCAGATTTATTCCCATTTAATCACAGTTTTTGACCCACTTTTGAATTTGTTATTGGAACTTTTGATGGTCTGTTTACTTTGCACACCATGCAATATTAAGATTTGTTTTGTTTTTTAATATTTGTTTGCAGATTATTTTGAACTATACAACGTTTTTTTGTTTTATTTTATTGTTTTCCTTTTTTTTTCTCTAGGCCACAGTTTAGGGTACGGATTTGTTAACTATCTTAACCCTAGTGATGCAGAAAGAGCTATCAGTACTCTGAATGGACTAAGGCTACAGTCCAAAACTATCAAGGTAACGTCCACTAAGGTGTTCTATAATTCTCCAAGCAAGGTTTTTATTTTCTTTTTACTCTCCTGTGGTTCCTGTGCTGTCTGCTAACTAGCTAATAACATGTCAGCCTGATGAAGGGATTGAGAAGTCGAATGACTTGCTTCCCTTTCTGACATGTCTTACTTTGACAGGCCGTTTATATATTTATACATACATATTTTTAGGTTTTATTTATTTTTTGTAACTCTAAAAGTTTGACATTGATTTTAGGTGCTGTAGTTTTTGGTCTGAGATGAGAAGTAGAAGGAAACAATTTGATTTTTGTTTAAGCTTTTTTTTTTTTTCTTTTTTATATTGGTTGTTTAAAAAAAATCTCAAGTAAAGTTAATATTTAAAAAGCGCAAATGAATTGTCAAAGTACTTCTGGTAAAATTTTTATTCACATTCACAACAATTTATTATTTTTTTTGTATTTTTAATGAAGTTTTCATTCCCTCTGCCAGGTTTCATACGCACGGCCCAGCTCTGAAACAATAAAGGATGCAAACTTGTATATCAGCGGTCTGCCCAGGTCCATGACACAGAAGGATGTGGAGGAAATGTTTTCTCGCTTCGGGCATATCATAAATTCCAGAGTACTTGTTGATCAGTCTTCAGGTACGACAGGTGAATGACTTCCTTGCTTTTTAAAAATAATTCTAGCTATTGAATATAAGAATGAGCCACCATTCTTAGGTGTGCTTCCAATACCGTTGATTGAAAATGTAGTCACAGTTTGTTCTGTGGTTTCCAGGCGTCTCTCGTGGGGTGGCTTTTATCCGGTTTGATAAACGAGCCGAGGCTGAGGAAGCTGTCAAGAGCCTGAATGGTCAAAAGCCGCCTGGAGCCTCAGAGCCGATCACAGTGAAATTTGCCGCCAACCCAAACCAGGTGAAGAATACGCAGGTCATCTCGCAGCTCTACCACAACCAGTCCCGGCGCTTCGGCGGGCCTTTGCACCACCAGGCACAACGGTTTAGGTGAGTAGCATACATTTAAACACAACTACTAATACTCTTACTTTTATTTGCTTTATTTATTTATTTATTTTTTTTTGTCGTTGCACTAATAAACTACAGCTTCAATAATGCTGTGACTTTTTAATACTCTTAACAATTCCACATATTATTACTGTGTACCTTAAAACTTCAGTGAATTTTATTGATATGTGATCGGATAGATTAACATTTTACCCATCATTAAGCATCTGAAAACTCAAGAATCTTTAATCAGCCTTCCTGTGTTACTTGTTTTCCCAGCACCCTGTTTTGTTTTTTGTTGGATAACCTGTTTTAGAAGTTATGCAGTGTTAGTTTTGTTTTTTGAGTTGACATTTTTCTAGCTTTTAAAAAAATATCAAGAGTTTTGGTGTCGTCTTCGCTGCACAACTTCTCTCACAGTACAGCTTTTTTTCCTTCATGGTTTGGGAAAAACTACTAATTTCCTTTACCTTTGTATTCTTGTTATTTTAAAAATGACAAATTTTTAGAGCATAACTAATACTTTACAACAGCCTTTAAAGTTTCTTCCACCTAATGGATCGCTGCAGCTCCTCCAGAGTTACCATGAGCTGTTTGGTTGTTTTTTTATTGTTGATGCTTATATTGCCTGGATGTCAGTTTAAGTGGGTTTTCATGTCATTGGTAGATTTGCACTGCAGCGGCCTTCTAGCCTTTTTCTCTTCAGGTTATAGATTGAACTGTAAGATGGTTAAAGCGTTTAGTGTTTTAGAAGCTAACTCTGCTTTAAATGTCTCGAATAAATATTCATTCATTCAGTTCTATTAAAAAATTTTATGGATTTTGTCCGTCTTGCGAACCTTCTAGGAAAATCTAAAAACTGATTTTTTTTTTTTTTTATAATTAAAAATATCTTTGGAAGTATTATCTATCTTCCACTCCAGTTATGTGTTGCTTTGCTTTAGGCCAATTATTAATATCTAATTGAAATACATTGTGCATTTTATGATAGTAATTTTACTAATCATAAATCATTAAAGGGGAAAACGTTAAATGGTTTGGTTGCTTTCAAAGACACCATCAATAGTTAAATAGTTAAAACTTTAGGGGAATGGCATAACATATTTTACTAGAGCAACATTTTGTTTTAATGAAATCTGTCGCAATTTGCTCTAAGAATATGGTGATGCTTTGTGTTGACAGGTTTTCTCCAATGGGTGTTGATCACATGGGCGGCATGGGAGGCGTGAATGTTCCCGGTAGCTCCTCGTCTGGCTGGTGCATCTTCATCTACAATCTGGGTCAGGATGCTGATGAGAGCATCCTGTGGCAGATGTTCGGCCCTTTCGGCGCAGTCACAAATGTTAAGGTGATCCGCGACTTCAACACCAACAAGTGCAAGGGATTCGGTTTTGTAACCATGACAAACTACGAGGAGGCGGCGATGGCCATCACCAGTCTGAACGGGTACCGGCTCGGAGATAAGATATTGCAAGTGTCCTTTAAGACAAGCAAGGGCCACAAGTAGATTGATATGGACAGTTTGTGTAGAAGGGTGCAGTTAACAGGCTGTGTCAGGCTTTTTAGTAGAAAAGTGAATTTTAATGCCAAAGTCTGGCACATTTTCGGTTTATTCGTATTTTGAGTAAACTGAGAATTTCATTCTTCTGCACCTTTGTACTTGTCTAAAGAAGTGTCTTTTCATGTCTTTTTTTTTCCGTATTGATATACTAATTTTTCTTTTTTTTTTTTGGGACTTGATGTCACTCAATTTAAATTTGTTTTTGTATTCATAATAATTCCTCAAATTGATTGAAATTGTCAAAATCTAAAATACTGTTTTATATGTTGCATGATTCATAGCATGAGGACAGTGGAGGGCTCCCAATAAAAAGAATTGAATAATAAAAAAACAGCTTATTCAAAAATGGACAATTCAATGGTTAACATGGAGCAAAAATAACTAAAAACTACACATGCCAACACACCAAATTTTTAAATAGGGGGCATTGTTTTGAACATGTTTGATAAAAGCAAAGCACTTTTAAAATGTTATGTTTGCAAATTATCTGGATATCAATCTTCTGATGCTGACAAACATCAGCTCATCCTCTGACCAACATTTCGACTGTGCAGAAAAATCTATTTGTTTTGGTACCCCTAAGGGTTTGTCTCTGTTTTTACATAACTCGTATTCAAGAAAAGATTAAGACAATATATAAGACTTAAAAAGGACCAAAGCCAGAGATCCCAAACATCAAACATTTTTTAGGGGATTTAGTAAGAAAACTCGCAATGTTTCTGGATTTTTTTTTTTATAAATCGGTACTGAATTATGTGAAGCTTTCTGACATCAACCCCTATTAGTATATATATTTTTTTCTTTTGTTTTAATTATATTTCTTTGTAGGGAGCCACATTTCTGTTTCAATTTAAGTTGCAAGCTTGTGCAAAGAAGAGCTAAGTTTGGAGATAAATGAATAGCCTTTGTTAACAATTAAAGTTAAGGTTTGCTTTTGTTTCTTTCTTTTTCTTTTTTTTTTTTTTTGATTTGGTTGTTCCATTATAAATATTAAACCATTAAATTTTATTTCATTTTGAACGTTTTGTTTCGTTTGTTTCTTTCATTTATTTGCAATTTTTATTTGAGTTTTGTTATTTTATTTTTTCGAAGCAGAAATTCTCCAGCCTCCCAAAAGTTCGTGATGATTCTAATCTATTCTCCATTTAATAGCAAGACAGAATTCATATATTAAACATCAAGTGGACCAAAACAAATTTAGACGACTGAGGGAGGGTTACATTGTGTTGATGCCGCGTTTTAAGAGAAAACATCCTTAAAGAAAATATAAAAGATTTAAAAAATAAATAAAAACAAAAAATTAGAACAGAAAGGATTAGTAAATAGAATTTATGTTAGGATTGGCTGTTCTTGCATAAATAGCCCCCCATGAATCTGGTTGCTCTTTCAGAATGTGTATTGGATATTTTCTAGATTTACATTTTAAGAAAAGTCTTTGGTATTTAAATATTTTAATGTCAACTTAAAGTGATTAAAAAAAACTAATATTAGCAGATATAGCTTTTTTTTCTGGTAAGATCTGAATGTTTTCATATGTCAAGCTCAGCATACAGCAGTTCATCTTCCTTTCATTGATTTTGTGGAAAGGTGGTAAGAATGATTTTATGTCCTTTTATCCAAACTCAGCAGACACTGACCCAGGGAACATTTGGTATGTATTTAAACCCATGAAAATAGGACTAAAACCAAGTCAAAAAAGAAAATCCAACCTTCAGGATATCCATATGTTTGAGTCCTTTGTGCAATATTTTAAAACTTGCTGAGAGCAGGTGATAGTCCTGGACTTTTTATACACTTTGTTTTATACTGACATGTTACTGCTTTTGTTCTTTTCCATGTGCAGTCTTGTTTGAAATGTGTGAAATGTTAAAAGTTGTTTGATAGGCAGTCAGAGAATACTGCAGTCTGCCTTAATTTATATGATAAACTAGTGTAAAATAAGTTGCATTTATTTATTTGACTGTACGCTATTATACTTTATACATATTCTAGTGTTTTTAATGGAACATTGTTTTTGTCATAAACATGTTAAACATAACTTCATCTAATGTTTGCTAACATTGAGTAACTTCATTGAAATGTGGAAACATTACAGAATTACTAAAATTACATGTCCTCAGACGCCTACTGTGCATTTGTTTACTGTTCTATAAATATATAGAGAATTCTGTGCATAATACAGGTCATAGGAGTTGCAATAGTTGGAAAAAAAATGTTGCTTATGTTAATGAATACCAATATTATATATTGCACCTAATCTGGTAAATATTAGAATAAACATTTAGAAACATCCTAAATGTACAGATGCCTATAAATCTGTCAGTAAATCAAGAGCATTAAGGGATAACTACAAAGTTTAGTAATTGTGATGTTCTTTTTAAGTTATTAAACATGCATCTATAATGGGGAATATGACCACTCCTTTATTGGTTTAGTCTTGCTTTAGAAAATGTGTTGTGAATGAAAACTCTTACAAAACCTAAAGCTGAATTTTTACATTAACTTCTAAAACGATATTTACCTGGCATTTTAACATTTCTTCATTTACATTTCCATTAATGTTTTTTCAAATGCTTGCCATTCACCTTTTGGAGCGTAGTTTATGTTGGCTCATTGTAGGCCTGCAGAATGGCCCCACAGATCACTTCTAGTTTCATTCTCTGCATTTTCTCTATTGGTCAGAAACTGTTGCACTCTGTCTCTATGCTGATGCTCAAATCTCTGTCCAATAGGATCCTCTCAGGTGACATGGTGGTAAAACCTTAAGGGTTAAATTATCCTGAAAAAATCCTCTGCTTCCTATATTGATCGTTTTTCCAAGTCAGTTTGCTGGTAGCTCTGCGACCTTGGAAGACATGCATGTATGGAAACATTTTATGAGATCAGCCTCAGATATAAAGAAATAAAGTCTGTGCTTGGCTTTAGACATGCTTTTTACATAAGTGAGAGTTCTGAGCAGGATTTTGCACTTGTAAAGAACATTCTGAACAAGTGGATCTAGTTGAATTTGTTAGTGGCCAGGAGCGGTGCTCTGGTCGGAACTTTCTCTAGATAGCATAGCCCACCATTCATCCATTTTTTTTAACGCGCTTAATCCCAAGGGGGGTAACGAGGGGTGCTGGTGTCTATCTCTAGCTGTCAATGGGCGAGAGGCGGGGTACACCCTGGACAGGTCACCAGTCCATCGCAGGGCAACACAGAGACAAACAACCACAACACACACAAGGAGAATTTAGAGAAGCCAATTAATCTTACAGTCATGTTTTTTTTTTTGACTGTGGGATGAAGCCGGAGTACCCGGAGAGAACCCATGCATGCTCAGGGAGAACATGCAAACTCCCTTCAGAAAGACCCCAAGCCTGGAATCAAACCCAAAACCTGCTTGCTGAGCAGCCCATAGCCCTCTAATAATGCCTGAATGTTGGTCAGAAACTTTCTGATAGATCACAAAAACATTGCTCTCCTAACATTGATTAGATTTCCGTTTTAAGCTCAGCCATTATCTGATGTTCCTTTACACAATAACATCAAGAGATCGCTTGGCCTTTCCATCTTTTTCACTCTGCTTTGCTCCTGTTGTACATCTCTGACAACATGGATTTGGAGTCATTAACTCTATAAAATCTAAAAGGAATTGTACCAGACCACAGTGTTTATAGGGAAAGTAGGAAAATGCCTGCAGGATAACTTTGTTTCTTTATAGAAGGCCTTCTAAAAACTGTAGTTCATTAACAAACAAACAAAACAAAAAACACCCACACACTTCTGAAGTACTGCAAGATTTTATTATAAAAGCAAACACAAAACTTAAAAGTACACGTATAAAAACAGAAAAAAATTCTGTACATTGAAAGATAACTTCTTAGCACTGGATTTGTGTCCATTGATCATTTTTAAAACAGTGTCTAAAGTTTTTTTTTTCTAAAATAGTTATTAACTTTCAAGTCTTTCCATTTCTTAGCTTCATATTAAGGCAACTTAAAACCTTGAAATCAAACTTGGAATCAGCTTTATAAGGACCGTCCAGTGTCTGCCTGTCAAACCAGGCTTATCAGTGTTCAGTTATGTCATATACATTCATACCTCCTTTTTCTCAGACAATAACTCATACCCAAAATGCAGGTTACACATGAGATACCTTTCTCACCCAGTGTATAAAGTACAGGAGGTTTCTTTTTCAGCATGGCACTGGCAAATATGTGTTAAGCCACTCAGCCCTGACACCTGACCTATTGCCTAAGACATATTTCCTCCCAAAGAACTAAATTCCCTTTGCTTCAAGTATTTCCTCTTGAGACGAATAAATCTCATGAATCCCATTCCGTTCCTTCTGTAAAAGGGGGCTCAGACTTGGCAGAGATTGTAGCATGGAACAGGCCTCTCCAGCACATTGTCCCCATCCACCTCGAACACGTAGTCGCAGCGGTGAGTGATCAGCGGAGCGTCGGACATGGCCACACTCTGATTCCCAAAGGATATTACTGTGTCTCTCTGTTGAGAACGTGACAAGGGCATGAAAGTTAACTACCCATTCTGACTTAATCAAAATTAGTAGAAGGCGTCGGTTTAACAGGGTTCTGTGTACTTTTAAAATATGGCATGCCATTATGATCACTAAACCAAAATGATTATCTCTTCATCATAACCCCTGTTAGTGGGTTATATTAGGCAATGGCCAACATTTTATCCATACAGTTTATGTGCTACACATAGGAAAAAGGGTCCAGTGTTAAAATAGAAATTGCAAGACAATTTGTATTCTATGCCAGTGCATATAGCAGCACTCCGGACACCAACCCTGGTTATACTATCCCTGATTCAAAAAGCTCATAACTAGAAAGAAGAAGCAAATCCTCCTTACCCTTTCATTATTGGCAGGAGAAGGAGTGGCAGAAGTGGCAGCCGAGGTAGCTGCTCTTTCAAAGTCCTTTTTACACAAATGAGCCATAATTCCAGCTGCTAAGGCATCACCCAAAACGTTGATCATTGTCCGAAATCGATCACTGGAACACAAGAGAATAATCTTCATCCACTGTCCCAACAAACTCAACTCAATGTTTTTTTCATCTCAGGTGATACTTACAGAACCCAGTCAATAGCCACTATCAGAGAGATGTCAGCTGGCGGTAACCCAACAGAGGTCAGGACTATCACCATGGTAACCAAACCTGCTTGGGGTATCCCAGCTGCCCCGATGCTTGCTGCTGTTGCTGTTATGCTGATGGAAGGAGAAATGGATTGAAGATGTAAGCACATGCTTAGACCTAAACACAAAGAATGACGGGCAGAATAGTTTCCTCCTAGTCCATCCTCACCTAATAGTTACCAGCTGTCCAAAGTCCAGGTCATGCTCATTGACCTGAGCAATAAATATAGCTGCTACAGCCTCATACAAGGCTGTTCCATCCATGTTGATGGTGGCTCCCACTGGCAGGACAAAACGCGCTATCTGCCGGTCAACCCCGCAATTTTCCAGGAGACACTTCATTGTGATTGGAAGAGTTGCTGAACTGCAGAAAAATAGGATAACCTTGGATAAGTTTGTTCAACTATATCGCTTTATTCAGGATAAAGAATTCATTGATAACTAGAAAAGCACTCGGGGAGCATCAACCTCCTTCAAGCAGCAAATTTTGCCCCATATTGTGACTTTCACCTATAGCTAAAATTCATACATGATCTGGATCACTATCTAATTTTTATTGAATTGTTCCTTGGTATGAGGTGCAACCCTGGTAACAATTTCCTAATTGTTTCCAATAATTGTTACAGTCCGAAATAAGACACAACAATTCCTGCATCTGGGTTATGATGTGTATCATCACCAAAATGGGATTGTTCCTTTGATTGAGGTGCAACTTTTGTAAAAATGTCATAACTTTTCAAGTTATCCTGTACACAGAGGGACAGACACACAAACAAACACAAACTTGACTAATAACATAACATCCTTGGGGGAGGTAAAAATGATCTCTCACCTGGATGACGTTGCTAGAGCAATCACTAGGGCCTGTAACAGGCCTCTAATGTAGGCAAAGGGGTTTTTGCGAGTGAAGAAAAAGTAGAAGAGAGGCAGCAGGATGAGGCCGTGCACAAACAGACCAGCGAGGACAGTGATGAAGTACATGCCGAGTTTCTCTCCCAGGTGGGCCGGGTCATGCATGTCCAGGATTTTCCCTGCGACCAGGAACACAATGCCGAAGGGGAAGTACCTGCAAAGAAAATAAATGTTTTATTTGTTTTTTTACTTACCAACTGATTTAAAGACCTCACATCAACACAAAGAGGCCTATGATGAATAAAAAATCAAAACAAATTAAATGCTTAGTCAGACACTCCCAAATAAAACCACATTCATTTTATTTAGATTTTTATACATACCCCCTTTTTTGACTTGAAGACAGTAAAAATAATTTAATGACACATTAAAATAGTTTTTCAGATACTGTTTTTTGTTTTCTTTACTCAATTTTCAAGCATGCATAATGAAGTCCCGTTTACCCTGGTTTTGTACAGCTTAATGCCCCATTCTACTTATGAAAGGATGTATCTTCTTAAGTTATGTGCTTATGTGTATATTTGTTTTTTAACAAGCAGCATCTAACCATGTGTATGAAACAGTTCTCTACTCTTTATGACCCCACACTGCACTTAACTGTAGTCTTTTTGATGTAATAACAACGTAAAGCAAGTTCATGCTCAAGATAGTTTTATTCTAGTCTTCTTTAAAGACCCTAAGAATCTGAATGATAATATTAATTAGTCATTTTAAAAAGAAGTGACTCATGCTGGATCTTGTTCTTGGTCAAAACCCCACTTTGACACAGTTAACTGTAACAGTAAAGTTAAAATAAGTCTTTGATTTCACAAATGTCTCCCTCTGCTGGATATTTAATAGACATAGTCATCCACAATGTTGGACTAGATGACTAAAGTCCTCTCTGCAACATCTGTTGTAAAACTCTAAATGGTAGGTTGTGCTGAGATAACAGCAAAGCTGTTACTTCTGTTCCATTCCTGCTTATCTCCATGCTCTCTAAGGTGCATATAATATGGTTAAATATTTCATTAGGAGGCCCATTCTTTCCTGGCAATGGGAAAATACAACAAAAAATAAAGCTGGGTATTTGTTCTCAGTGCATACCTGAAACTGACTCTAAACGTGCTCATTGACAAACTTTTCCTTGATTTATTCTGGGTTAAGGGGAACTTTAACTGTTCTGAACTTCCTCTTTTTCACTACCCTTTTTGCACTAGCCCGTTTTTTTTTATTTACCAAGAATGTCATCATCTGAGATTTAAATTGGTTCTAAGGTTTTTATAGTTGCATTTTTTATTAAGTTGGGCATACTGGCCTCTGAGGTAAATGTCAAAACTGTCTGTGCAGAATCATTAGAAAAGACCAAGGGGTTTTATTCCAGGATGAACTCATGTATGCTCCTTTATGAAAAAAAATAAATAAATAAATTATTATATATATATATATATATATATNATATATATATATATATATATATATATATATATATATATATAAACTTCTGCTTTAATCCTAATCCCTCAATTACTTTGCACCTTTCCCTGCAAAAATACCTTCCATGAATGCAGTCACTTGGTGTGGTAGATTACTGAGTTTGCTGTAGAACAATGTGACCTGCCTGACATCAACCTTATGTAACACATCTGGGATTAACTAAGACACATGCTGAACTGGTCCTTTTTGTCCAGCACAGGTAGCTGACCTCACTAATGCTCTTGAGGTCACTGCCACGTTTCAGAGCAACAGAAGCTGTAAGGGCAGATTAATGCCCGTGGCTTTGGAATTAGATGCTCAAAATCACACATGTGTAATGTGCAGGTGGATGTAATGTCCTGTGCTGTGGACACCTGCTTGCAACAAAGATTAACCGTTTCAATCTTGAATGATTTAAATGGCGGATCTTGTTTTTGGAAGTCTGTTTACTCCATTATCACAATTCTAACCGACCCACTTTTCTGACGTCTTAGGTCAATTTACCATTTCACGTGACAAGATTTATGTTTGAATCTAATCTGGACCCGCTATATAAACAGCGGAATGTTTTTAGGTTGCATTTGATGTCAGTAGAGGATACATATGAGCATAGGTACAAACTCACCACATGGCAGCATTGATTATCTTCATCACGCACTCATTAATGCACTGGCATACGTTGACCAGCGGTAATCCACGTTCCCCCATCTTCCCAAGCAGCAAACCTGAAATCAAACGGAAACAAAGATGGATTTGTTATAGTCAGAACAGGAGTTTCTCCCCTCAGAGATGATTTAGTTTAGTAAAACTCAAATGAAACGTTTACTGTTTGGGTCAGTTAGCATTAACTAACTCATGTCTACTTTTAAAATCACAGATTGATGAGAGATGGGACTTTATTTAAATTCGGAGGATTAGATAGATTAAGAGGGACTGCCTTTGAACTGTTTGGGAGAGCCTGCATGATGAAGTCATGGCTTTGTAAGCTTCTTATAGTTTAATTCACACGTTTTAGTTCAATGAATCCTTGCTGTGAGTCTTAAGGCAACACCTCATACACCCTGCTACCTTGTGTGACATTTTGAAAAATAAACCTGAGCTCCTGAGAGGAGCATTGTGGACAACTTTAGTTTATTGTTTGTGCATTTGTAAATACCCAAAGAGTCTGTCTCTATCTTTTCTTTATTATTACGTTTATTGAACTGGGACATGAGTCCAACTTTAATACCAAAAATATAAAAATGTGAGCCAGTATGTTAATAAAAAAATCCTTATAGTATTGTCAGGGACATCAGTCTTGTATTTGTAAACTCAGCAAGGAAGAAGCTATTGTGTTAAAAGCAGCATTAAAAGGCAAGGTTACAGCGTTATAATGCTCTCATAGACAAAGACCTTTGTTTTTGTTCTTTGGTCTGAGAAAAAATAGGATTGAAGCGTGGGCTATAAGGACCTTTGTTATATTTGGAGGAAAAAGAAGGAAGCATGTACAGGTAAGCCTAAGAATGACATCTCAAAGGTTAAGCACCAAAGAAGCAGCATTATGTTGTGTAGGTGTTATACTGTAGGAATGGAGTGTTACATAATGGGTGACATGGTGCAGAAAAATGGTGGAAATTTACAAACATCCTGAATACATCCGGAAAGAAAAACCTTGGGTTTAATCCCACCATCAGATGAAAACCATCAAATAAATTTATTTCAAAAACTGTTTTTTCTTTTTCTTTAATTGGCTTCAGTTTAGTGATTTCCTTACCCATGGTGGCTGAGAAGATGACAATCCCCAACACGTTCATGCCTTTGCTCGTACTGGGAACCATTTTATACTTGATGTCCGGTGCAGGAGTGATCTCCAGGAAAACGGGATGGCCGAGGCGAGGGTTGTGATAATCAGGCATCACATACACAAAGTTGGCTTGAGACTCTTTCTCACTGATGCTCTGAACAATTGGCACCAAATCCGTCCGGTACTGAAATGAAACAAATCAAGAGATTTAAGATTTAAACAGTGGGATATCCCTGGAAGTTAATGCATCAGCTACCTTATTTTTTTTTTCTCACCTGCTGAAAAGTAGCTTCGACTAGATTTGATGGGATCATGTTCCTAGAAATATAGCAAACAAGACAGTTTAGATTTTAGATAACTGCAAAAGGTCTTAAAAAGCCTGAATAAACAAGGTTAATATTGCTGCTTAAACATGAACTGAAAAGTTCCCGATATAAAATACCTGCTTTTTAAGGTTTGCACCAATAAAACTATCTGTATGTTGTCCACTATGGAAGACCAATTCTGCCATAATTAAAAATACATACAGAAATAAATGAAGGACTTAATTATATAAAATTACTTAGAAAGTAGCTAATAATATGAATTTGTGTGCCATTAAATGCATCAAAATAATAAAAATTAGATATTTTTTCAACAATTGATCAATTCCTCCATACTTTACAGATTTACAATGATATGAGTAAAGAAAAATAGATATATTTATTAAACATTAATGCCGTTTCATGCAAATAAAAATATGGAGATTTTCATTTAGGTCTAAAGGTTAGTTTTTGTCTTAGCAGAGCACCTGTTCCTTGTTTCCTCCATTATTAATAATAACTGTGGCAACCTAAAAGCATGATACCTGAAGCTCTGTATTAAAACTGAGAAGATCCGAATGACTAAGGTTGCAGAGTAAAGGGGCTGAACAAATATACAGAGGGATTTTCATATGTAAAAATGCACACTGTTAATTTTCCTCCCACTTCAAAGTTATGCAGATTGGCTATAAAATTAATTAAAGTTTATGGTTGTGATGGGATAAAAGGTCATAGGGGTGAAAACTATTGCAAGGCACAGTAAGTGACCCAAACTGTATGGATGACAGCCTGTTTAGCTTGCTGTGTGAACATCTTAGTTGTTCTTATGTTTAAATAATGAAAGGAGAACCTACATAGATCAATACATCTGTCATCTTTTACATGTGAAGGCTTAAAAATATCCTTCATATCAAACAGCTTTATATAAGAAAGTTGGATCTTGAAAGGGCGACATTCCTCTTATTATTAATATATTAGTCTTACTCATATAAAAACAGAGAGTCCACATGGATACCATAAACAGAAGTAAGAGGTTTATAGGCAGGTGCAGCATTCTGTACCTAGACGGCATTTATTTATGCAGCAGGTGTTGGACACCCGGCAGCTACGTCATCAAACACTTAACAGGACTGAAAAGTACAAACCACCCATCTCTGCAGTATAATTAGTTTTAAGACGATGGTATTAGTGGAGCTGCAACTTGACGTAAGCCAGAGCGCACCTAGGCTCCTGACTCCTGCAGGGAAAGTCTGTGCAAAGACATTCAAGGGTGGTTCAGGCTTATCAGATCACAATAATTGTCCTCCTACTTTTAGACCAGCCATTTCGTGGAGGTTGACGCTGCAATTATTCTTCAAGGATTCTATCTCAGCACTCTAACAATACAAAATAATTATTGTACTGAGAACCATCAAGGTTTTGCATTAATTTTATTGAGTTCAAATGTGCTTCGCGTTGCTTTGTTGTGCCATCTTTAAAGATGACACCTGCAGGCTTTTTTCTCTGGGAAAAACTCAATTTTCTGCTTAATTTGTTATCACCCAAAGTCTGGTTTATAGCCCATCTTTCTGCACAGAGCCTCTATGTTTTCTTTGTTCATGTATGGGTTCTTTCTGTGTACTCTGGCAGACTCTTCTAAAAATTTGAATATTGGCCAAATTGGTTGCTTTCAAATTCCTTAGCTGTGGATGTGACTGTGTGTGTCTTTGTGTGTAAATCTGTGGTTATCTGTCCTGAGAGTTTCTGGGATGTAACCTGCCAGTATCCTACAGTTATCCCTGGATGGATAAAGCAATATAAAAAACCTGTATTTATCAGTATCCTGTGCCTTGCAAAAGTATAAATACCCGTTAACCTTTCGGATTATTTACCTTGCAGTGCAGAAAGTGTTGGAACACAAAGATGGCTGAGGCGAAAAGTGGCAAACATACTCTGAAGATAACCCTACACTGTTTTATAATTCTTCATCACTCAGAGTATATGTAGTGTGTTTCAGCTTAAAAAAAAAATGATTTAGCCAGAGGGACTGTAGTGTGATGAGATAACTTCTTTGTGAATGTCAGATTCAGAAAAGGCTTAATATCTAGGCAGTGTTTAGCATTATAAAGGGATTTCTGTTTGTTATAACAAAAGCAAAACGCAAAGAAAAGCAAACATACAGACTAGAATATTGTGCTATTAACATGTCCAGTAAACAGACCAGGCAATATTAACAGTATTAACAAAATATACCGACCACCTGAGTCAATTTCCAGGCTGTTTTGTATTCCCAGTCGGTCCCAGGCCATAGTAAGATCCATCTATATTAACTTTTGCTATCTTGTCTGCTCCTTTTCAAGAAATTAATGCCCACAGCATGATGCTACCAACACCATGTTTCATGGTAATGCTCAGGTGGTGTTTTTTTTTTTTTCATAAGTTGTGTTTTGCATGTTAACCATACAGCTTTGTCTTTCCTGATCAGATCAGCTTGTATCATGAGTGCTTTGTGCTCTGCCTTGCTTGTGGTAAACTTTTAATGGTTATTTTTTTAAACAAGATTTTCTTTTTAAACATCTTTCATAAGTACCAGCTTATTAAAGAAGATCAAGACAAGTCGACAGATTCTCCCCTGTCTGGATTTTCTGTCTGTCTGCTGTCTGGCCTGATGGGTAAGATCATGGTATCTTAGCAGCTGGTCCATACTCTTTTCATTTTTTTAAAGATTGATTAAACATTAGGATGTAAAAGGTTGGGGGATTGCTTTATACCCTAACCTCCTTTTAAACTTCTCCATAACGACATCTTTATGCTGTCTGCTGTGTTTTACAGGCTCTGCATAGTGTTCTTTCTATTATATATTACTAACAAACCTCAAAGACTTTGTCTCTTTAAATTGAGACTGGATTACATAAAAATGGAGTCTACAAGCTGAAAAGATACATTTTGCTCGTAGCTGCTTATACTGGATTATATTTAGGGGTTTCAAAGTTAGAATGAAGGGGCTGAAATGGAAATGCAAGCCACCCAAGAAATCCACAAAACATATATGTACAGTACTCTGTGTCCTATCAGTGTTTAGCTTTAATGTAATTCAATTAAGAAAAGCTTAAGAAGCATGAATACTTTTTTAAAACACAACACCAAATTTTACAAGGAGAGATTAAACTGTATTTTTCGTTTTATCTGTTCTCATATCCTGTTCACTAGTCATAAGGAGTCTGTGGTATACCTTCACGGTCATGTTTACCAGACCAATATCACTGTTATGTTGTTATGTGAAAGAGTGAATGTTACCTGATCAGGTCCAGCAGAGCATCAGCAGAGGTCATGACATGCCCCGTGCCTCCATGGTGGCCATCTTTCTCTTGTCCCGTTCCAGGGTGAATGATCAGCACCAGAATGATGCCGACAATCACGGCGATAAAAGTCGTCCACAGGTAGTAAGTTATTGTCAGGACACCCAGACGGCCACTTGCCTTCGTGTCCATGGCCGACAGGCCGGACATAAGACTGTGGGAAATTAGAAGCAATATAAACCATTCTGAAAAATTCATGCATTCTAAAGCTACTGTTTTTGTTTTTGCCTTAAAGGGTTTGTTTATTTCTGATACTTTAGTTATTTGGTTGCAGATTTTTTTTATGTTTAATGCACATATTTGTGAATCATTTTTGAATCAGCATTACTTTGCATTTAAAGCTGAATCAGTAATCTATATATAATAAATGTAAAATCAATAAACTCAATCAATTAATGATTTAACAAATCAAAATAGGTTGTTACAGTTATCAGGTTGTCAAAGAAGTTCAACAAATCCTTACCTGGAGGTGATGAGTGGCAGAATTAACATCTTCAACATTCTCATCAGTAGTTCACCAGGGAAGGAGAAGTAGATCTTTGCCTGTGAGCGGGCAAAATAGCAATTAGGGAAATAAACCTTCAAGTAATAGTACTTTAATTTTTTTTTAATGTCATACTATTTTCTAACCTGTGAGCCTGCTGCTCTGTTAAAGACATGCAGAATAGTCGAATGCATACAAGTTTAGGATAACATGTAAAGTAGTTGTAAACCTCTCTGTTAGAACAATCAATGATTAAAAAAAATATAGATATTTAATATCAACTGTAGCTTTTGTTTTGCCCTGGGTAAAAGAGGCACCCAAATGCAGCTTGCAAGCCAAATTACCCTGACAAAAAGCTGAGCACTGAAGCAGTTCTACCATATCAGTTAAACAGGGATTCACTGACATATAAAACACGTGTTTTAATCTGTTAATACGTATATTTTTATTTTACATTCATAGCATGGGTATTTTTTTTTATTTATTTGCTTTTTTCATAGTTTAATGTCTAAAAATTCTCTAGACGCCAAAGTAGAGTCACAGCCCTTCACCCATTGGATGGCCCAATGGGGAACTTTGACCTCTAAATATCTATTTATCTATTTTATCCTGTTTAAAACCTTTTACAATCACTTATCCTTTATGATACTTCATATCGATAAAGTTCCTGTATTACCTGAATATGAAAGCTTTTTTCAAAATTATAGGCTCATTTTTTGTTTATAAGATGCAACAACTAATACATTCAGTCTTTGCCATTATTCATATATGAGACAGTTATTTAAGTATTTTTTTTGTCTTCTGTAGGATTTCCCTGCAACACCAATCTGGGTGTGCGTCAGTAATTTGCCTCCTGCCCAAAAGCTTTAACCTCCTAAGAATATCTTATTTCACAGTGAGCAGAGTAGCCTATGTACCATAAAACAAGCAGTTTGTTATGGTTGTATATAAATGAATTATAGAACTTGATATAAATCATTTGATATCAAAACATGTTAATTTAATGCAAAACTTAAACATTCCCAACGTTAAAAATAAAGCCTACTCTTTGAAATTAAGCAAAATGTAAGCAGATTAAAACTCAAAAGACACCGACAATTATCTGTACTTATTGACGCTGAAAATAAGCCAAATTACTTGAGCAATTGAATAACCTTTTTTTTTTTTAAATAATCAACTTAAGCTAAATAATAAACACAAAATTCAGTGCTGAAATAATTACTATAACATTTGGATGTATTTCTGTATGTGTTAAAAGATCTGGCATGACCTTGATGTTGCAGGTAGGGCAAATTACATAACTGACTTTTGCTAGTTTCTCCTGGCTGACTCATTAGCAATCATTTTAGTAGTTTTATTTTTGTTTTTTTGTTTGTTTTATATAATTCATAATCTCACAGAATAGTTTACTTCATTTTATTTTTATTAATTAAATTTTTTTTGCTAGTTGATGTTTTTTTCTCCAGTTTTTTCTCATCCATACCTGTGTGGAGAGGTTGAATGTCCGAAGTACAAACCCAAGAACGCAGCCAGTAACGACAGCAAACACAGAGAGGGTTAGCAGTCCATTCCTTTTGCAGTAGTCTCTCACATATTCCCTGACTTTCACAGACACCACATGCTTATACAGCTTCTTCCACATCTCCATCCTGCTTCAGGCCCAGTCTTCAGCCCAACCTCGGGCCTCTCGCCCCACTTACAGTCCCCTAAAGTCCAAAATCTCTCAAAGGGCCCCCTGGATCCGTATGTGTCCCAAAAGGCTTCTGAAGGCAGGGGACAGCCTGTGAACCTGATCTGATGTTGGTACTGCTAAACACTGAGGAGCTCATCCAGTCTGAGAGAGGAAGTGTTGACGGACTGATTCCTGGTAAAGCATTGCTTAAAAGGATTATCCCTATATCCCACTAATAGAGGCCCCTTCACAGCCACACAGGCTTACTGGAGAGGTTAAAGGAAAGACATAAGAACCAATTAGTGCCCCCTTCCTATGTCTTTACAGATCAATGGTCCCCACCAACAAGCTTTCCCATTCATAAAAATGGTGCACAGCTTTTCCTCAACAGGCCATACAATTAAGCTCAAATTACAGTTAATAACTAATGTTTTTACTTCATAAAAACATATTTTAAAATAACTCTTAATATCTAATGAATAATTAAATATGACTCAACCAAAACAAAAAAAAAATGTTATGTGTCTTTCATGATAAAGTATCTGAAGAATAAGAGCAGCTTCCAAAACAGCAGCCAAAACCAGTGCTTGCCTTTGGTCTCTGCTGTCCCACTTGTCTATTTTTGTCTTCTGTTTGGACTGCTTCTTAATTCTGCAGTGAGCCAACGTCCGCTGACGTCTCAGGCTCTGCGCCGTCCCAAGAAGGGATTCCAAACGTCAACCTTTCCTGCCTAACAATGGCTCCCCACGTCACCTGGGAACAATCCAATAACATCTAATCCGTGCTTCGGTTGCTGCACATGGGATCATGAAATAGTAAAAATTAGAAAGACATCATTAAGTAGCTCCATCTCTGTTTGGAATATAAATTCTATAAATTTATTAAGATTTTCCACAGATCGAATAAATATTTATCCAAACGACAAACTATTTAAATCAAAGACTCTTTGCATTCTGGTCAGTGCAACATCTCAAAGCACAAAGTACTTTTTACCTACAAAAATATAAAATGTCTTCTTTAAAGAGCAACTTCAAATGCTTAGAAAATTTATTCTGTTTGGCAACCTGAAAGAAAAGGATTTGACAAATTTCCAACCATATATGAGTTCTTTATGCATATCAAATGCAACTAAATACTTCTCCATCTACGGTGTTTTGCAGGCCTTCAGTCTTCTCAGCAGGTTATATAATCTATCT